TTCGTCGCGCGGTTTTGTCGGCGCGGTTTTGTCACCGCAGTTTAGTCAGGCGTGCTTTTGTTGTTCGCGCATTTGTGGTGGAACCGATGGAATCCCTAGAGAGTGCAATAGAGCAACTGAAGGAGGGACTTGACCAGGCCACCCTTGCTGATGAGGGGCCATCATGCTGCCCAAAAGAGAGGGGAGGGACATCTGATCCTGTTGAGGGGAGGAGATGCAGACTGGAGTGCAGCCCCCCTCCCCCTCCTGATAGGAGAAAGAGCCCAAAACGGCAACCAGAGCCTCTCCCACGCAGCAGGCAGGCTGCCAAGAGCAGGCAACCCTCTCCCTCTCTCCGAACGAGGGGTGAAGAAGATGGCCAGACATATCAGGCACAAGCATACAGAGGCCGACAGGGGGCTGGGGGAATAGGGCTGAATGACCCACCCCAATTCAGGGGAAAGTTTGACGGAGACTCAGACCAGCTAGCCCTATTCCTTGATTCAGCTGATATCCACCTAGAACGCTATAGGCACCTACCCATCCCCCAAAGCCATGGTGAATACCATTGCACAGGGTCTAGAGGGAGAAGCAAGGGAATGGCTAGCAGCCCTCCACAAGAGGAGAGCCCCCCCCCAATGCAAGACATAGATGACTTCCTACAACTGCTAGAGACCAGATTTGAGGAGGTGGAGGAGGACCCATATGCGGAAGAGAAACTCAGCAACCTAAAGCAGAGGGGCCGCCCCATCTAAGAGCACATTCGTGATTTTCGGAGGGTCATGGGAAGCTACCCCCTTTACCAGAGCAGCTGCTGGTGCATTTTTTCAGAACAAGCCTGGACAAGCAAATTGGCCAGGTAACTGCATACTGCGACATCCCAAATCAACTCTCTGAGTGGTTCCGAGTAGCAACAAAAGTCAACAGTGGGCTGAGTGCCAACGACGTGAGAAAGCAGCTGGACACACAAGAGAGAGGTCAACTTAACCTCTCACCACCCAGCCGGCAGGGAACCATAGCACCACATCAGGCCCTGAGACCATCCCTCCATCAAAGTCCACTGAAGTGCTACAGATGTGGGGGGATGGGCCACATGGCAGGTACATGCCCAACCTCAGCCCCAAAACGAAGGCCAGACCCACCGCCCAGGACATGACCAGAACAAGGGCCCAAACGGACCACCAACACGTCCAGGAAAGCCTTCCAGGCTGCAGAGTCCCCGTCCCCCTCAGGCGAAAATGGTGGAACCCCAGGCAATGACAACCAGTCGCCCGAATCATATGACAGTGAGGACGAGGGAGAAAATGACCCAATGGTAAGTGAATCAATTCACCCTTTCCTTTTTCCAATATGCCTCACAGCCCCAAAAACAGAAAACCAGGGGGATTTTCAAGCCCTAATAGACTCAGGCTGCACAAGGTGCTTGATCAACCTAACCACA